GCGAACATAGTTGTAAAGATTATTCACTATTAAAAGGAGTTATATAACCTATATTGTAACTAAACTAAATAATGTCCTGCATCAACAAAAACCGGTATTATGTCTGGTGATGTTATGAGTGATGCTTAATTTTCCAAAATTATGTGTAATGATGTCGCATGATATACAATGCCGCGTGATATCACAATTGTAATATGACGGCAATACTTACACATCTCAAGTGCTATCATTCGGTCGCAGAGGTTGAGAGAACAAAATATGCCTTTATAATAATTGGAGGCTCGTATTTTGACCTAAATGTTTAGACATACGCTTGACCACAACCTCGCCTGATTTTAAGCGACAATGTGACTAGATGATACGCGTTGATCTAATAAAAACCTATTCAATCTAGCCTTGAATTAAAAAAAATATTTTAAAACCTGTTTCACTTATTAATAGGGAACTACATTTTTTAATATTTTATACGGTTTTATTTAATTTATTTACTATTACATGACTCGAAATACTGACTACGAAACGTTACAAAATATGTTTTCTACAATTACCAATTATTCCAATTCAGCTCAGTAAGCTAACGATGCCTTGTAACTCAATTTGAGAGAACAAGTCAAAGTTCTGAAGGTATGTATTTTTATACGTAACTTGAAGTAAAAATCCAAATATTTTTATTATCTCTTTAAAAAAAATTGACAACTGCTATTTATTATAGTAGTCGTAGTATAAACATGTTTTTTAATTAATAACATGGTTGCAATATGTGTCAATCGGTATTTTGTCCGATGATTGAAGCAAGAGAAGCAGCAATGAAGCTTTCATTAACGTTATTAGTCTTAGAAAAAATTTTACTCATGATTATTTGTTCGTGCGCATTATAGGTCTAAGCGTAATATTTTAAGTTTATAATTCGTTAATGAAAAACACTCAGAACTGGAGAATCGTGAAGGTGTCGCGTTATATCGTCAAACCACAAACACCTTTCCAAAGCCATCAAAAACTATTGCAGTTAGTTGGGATGTCATATCCACCGTATTCACCTGACATAGCCCCTTCAGATTTTTACTTGTTTCAGTGTTTACAAAATTCTATGAATGAATGAACGGCTTTGAACGACGACGAATATCAAACGTCACGTAGAACTGTATTTTATAACTAAAGACAGGATTTTTTATGAAAGGGAAATTCTAATATTACCCTAAAGATGACAAAAGATTGGAGATCAAGTAATTTATATCAACTAAATACTTAGTTGACAGTAGTCTCATAAAAATCTGTAACATTTATAGCGCAATTGCATATTTTCAAATAATAAATATTAGTATTCTTAAAACCTGTGTGTCAAACTTGCCCTTTGGTGTGAAAAATACACTCATTAGTCTCATTACACAATGGAAATTTAACCTTACTGTAGTAACATTAATTCAACAGGCCCCTTTTATCGTCTTCAATGACCTCGTAAATCCCATTCTCTTGACTGTGCGCAAGAAAGAATTCAAATTTAATTGTAAGGACACAGAGGAATTATACATAGAAATGTACATATTTACGTACTTCTGTGATATTATAACCGCAATCTATGCTTAAGACTGTGATAAACTTTACTAGCATAGAAACGTAGTCTCCACAGACATGATTTATTTCCAGGGTTGTTTGTACGGGATGAGACGCGTGAAACGTATACGAAATAAGGATAATAAAACCGTGAAATATTAGTTTTGTTTTGTATCGACCAGCCGGTCCTTCTAATATACCCCATATTTATATTATACCTCAGATATACTATAACCTATAGGCGTTGAATTAAGTACGTAATTAAATAAGTACATGTGTTTAAACGGAGTGAATATCCATATTAACATACATTTATGTAAATATATAAAAAATACGATTGTTATAAATATATAAAAAAGATTTTTAAAACTAAAACAAAAGTGGTCTTAAATGAGTTCATTTTATTTTATTTAATGAACAAAGTTTCAACAACATATTTAAACTTATTGACAAATGTTGTTAAGCAGTACAAAAGCCAATTACAGAGTATACAAAATATGTGATATTATGGTTACAATATTGGGTAGAAAAATAAATTTAAATTGAAAAAAATAATAATAATAAATAATAAAAGTCGTTGAAAACCAAATACAAAGATACGACGCAAGCACATAGAAAAATTCGTGAGGTCCGCTGGTTCGTTCCGTGACTTAGTTGGTATAGCGTCTAGCACGGTAAGCTAGAAGACGTCGTTTCGAATCCGGCCGGCAGGCTTATTACCGATCTTTAGCGACCAGTCGTTTTAGCAATAGTTGCACGATTATCGCTGTCAAAACATAAATTCGTATTACGGAACGAACAATTGCGACCAGTCGACTACAGCGCCTCCCGCGAGCAACTAATAAACTAAAACTGCATGAAAATGCTTTGACAGAAAGCGACCGGTTGCTTTTTCGTATTACCGAACCGTAATACCAACTTAGCAATCGCAACTGGTAGCAATCGCGTTGCTATTGTACAATTAACAACCGGTTGCTAAAGTTCGGTAATAAGCCTGCGGATCGAAGGAATTTTTTTTGAGTGTTCGACCTTTGTATTAATAATTATAACAAACTAGTGAAATAATTTCACAAAAAAAATTGAATATCAATTCAATAAAAAAAAAAATAAGTTCCTTTCTATATAAAAATATATTTTGTTAGTTACCACAAAAGACACCACAATAAACAACTACAAAAACAACAAAACTGTATAACATAAAAAAGTAAACAAAACAATGAAAAGAAAAAAAATATTTACAGAAAAAATAACATTAAATACGTAGGTACTTTGAGTGGTTGCCAGCTGCGATAACAAAAGGGGTACTAACTCAGCATATACTGAGCAACTCAGCGCGTTTTCCACAAGGAGTTTCAGTTAGGGCCCATAGTGAGGTCATGGATCATCATATGTATATGTATATAGTGAAGAATTCACTTAAATCCACGTCTTTTTGAGCGTTTAAAAAAAATCTTAAAAATATTGGGGTTTTTTTTATGGCACCAAGTGAAGGGACGAGCAAGTCGTGCGCCTGGTGGTAAGCGACACGCCTGTCCACGGCAGTTGCACTCAGAGCTATAAAAATCTCAAAGATCTGAGGGACACTGCTATCGCGCCCGTCAAGTTGACAAGTCCTTACCCTTGAAAACCGCAACGTACTGATGCTCATTATGCCCACGTCATCGGTTAGCGGCAGGAATAGGTGAGTGGATGTTATTACAGTTTTAATTAAGGAAGGAATGAGTATTTGAACAGTACCTAGTTCCTACAAAGTATAGTCGTAATGGAGAAAATAGGAAACTGTTAATATTTATAAGACGGTACATTTATTCCGATACTAAGAAAACCAGCCTTACAAAATATGAGCTTGCTGACATGCCATTAAGTTCCCGGGGTCGGCCTAATGACAAAGTGATGGTCGCAAACCTTCTAAGCTGTCCGAGATTTACGAGCTTGGTAAACGAGGGAATTGCAAAACATCCAACCCTAATTAAAGTTGGGGGATTGATTTTCTTCGACTCCTACTCTCTTAGAAGCTCAAGTGTTATTGGGATCTAAATACTTGTTGAAAGACGAGGGGATTTTCAAACTACGTATTGTAGTAAAGAAGTAAGCTAATAGATATAATCACCGATACGTTATGCGTATATAAATTGGATGATTTAATTAAAAAAAGGAGTATAAATAAAGAGCTTACCTAGTTTTGTAACAGTCTTTTGAAATACCTTCTAGTAGCAGTAGAGCTTTTTCTACCGCCAAGCAGTATTGTGAGCATTATTGCGTTCCGATTTTCAAGAACAAGCGTACTGCTGAAATGACAAGCTTAAGGGACTTGTCAACTTAAGTCTCAGGGAGACGGATGCAGTGGTAGTGCCCCTCAGATCTTTACGGTTAAAGCTCTAAGTGGCACTAAGTCCAGTTGCAATGGACAGGCGTGTCGTTTATTACCAAGCGCATGACCTGTTCGTCCCATCACTTGGTATTATAAAAAAAGAAACGATTCTTAGAAAGAAATAGAGCGCGGTGTGTTTAGCGTTCAATAAAACAATTGACTGTGTAAGTGATTACTATGAATTTTATTAGCCTTGAAAAATGCTATAAAAATAAATTAAATGAAACTATTAATAAACAAAGTATATTGCAGCGTACTTCATGAATGTTGGGTGAATAACAACAAGACTAAAACAAAGCAAAACATCAATTAATTTATAATTCGTCTAGGGACATCATCGGTATTCTAAATGAAACGGAAATATTGAATTATTAATTTAAGACCACAATTTAGGCAAGGAATTTGCAAGTTTTAGTGTCCGTGTAATTTTGTAACTATACAATTCAACGGTAAACTAATAAAGTACAACTCTCGATTTTGATTTCTAGACTGTAGTTACCTAGCCCCAAGGCATGGATGTAGCTGACATAATATATGTTTATGTATGCATTAAATTATTTAAGGTTACACGTAATGTAGAAATAGTGTTTAGACATTTTATGATATATAAGATAGCAGAGCAATAGAGATAGAGAGCAATATTTAATTCAATAGGTATTCTAGTCTTGAAAG